TTCCCAGACATGGAGGTAATGGCCCGACAATGTCCAAATGAATGGTGTCGAAACGTGCATCAGGGAGAGAGAATTTTCCCCATGGAGGCTTGGTGTGCCGTTGCACCTTGATACGCTGACATGCTCTGCAAGTGCGAACACAGTCACGAATGTTACCACGTATGCGCGGCCAGACATAGCGTTCAGTGATCAGATGTTGCGTAGCTCTTACGCCTGGATGGCAGATGGAGTGGAGGATGTCAAAAACAGCACGACGAAGCTGTGAAGGAACATAGATACAAGTGCAGTTGTGTGAAACATCGCATCAGAGCGTAACATCGTCGTAGGGAAAGTTGACTTGTTCCAGTCGGAGGGAAATAGATGATCGGAGTCGTGGAAGCTCATCGTCTAATGCCTGTGCCTTCGCGAGCGAGGACAATGACAGGTCGGTGGTGCCTGTCGTGGCATTGATGGTAATACGACTGAGAGCGTCCGGTGTACTGTTAAAGATGCCTTTTACATAACGTATGTCTGTGGTGAATTCGGCAATGAAAGCAAGGTGTCGAAGTTCTCTAGGAGTGTGCGTGGCACTGCAGGAACATAAAGCCGAAACAAGGGGCTTGTGGTCGGTAAGAATGGCAAATTGTCGCCCTTCAAGGAAGTACCTGAAATGCTTCACCGCAAGGTAGGCCGCGAGGAGCTCCCATCCAAAAGTACTATATCGGCGCTCAGTGTTGCGTAACTTGCGGGAAAAGAAGGAAATTGGAGCCCATGCACCATTGATCCATTGATGAAGAGTGGCCCCAACTGCTTCTGAAGAAGCGTCCACCATGAGGCTAGTGGGAGCAGTTGAAGGGTGGTGAAGGAGGGTGGCCTGGGCGAGCTTGGTCTTAACGGCGGCAAAAGCTTGATCCGCGACCGTGTCCCAGGGAAGTGCGGCTGACTCGGCTTGTGAAGTCTAGAGTAGTGCTTCAAGAGGCTGCAGCAGTGTAGAGCATGTAGGGATGAAGCGGCGATAAAAATTGATGAGTCTGAGAAAACGTCGTAGACTGCGTATGGACGTGGGAGGCGGGTACTCGAGGATAGCTTGAACCTTGTCAGGTAGAGAAGTGATGCCACCTTTAGTGATCTGATGTCCGAGGAACGCTATCTCCGAAACTCCATACTGACACTTTTCTACATTGATGACAAGGTCGTAACCACGCAGTCGAGTGAAAAGCTGACGTAGATGAGCCTTGTGCGTTTCAGTGTCCTTGCTGGCTACGAGAAGATCGTCGATATAGGCGAAACAAAACGGCAAGCCTCTTGTGACTTCGTCTATAAAACGCTGAAATGTCAGTGCTGCGTTTCTCAAACCGAAAGACATTCGTAAAGACTCATAGAGCCCAAATGGCGTAATTATTGCAGTTTTGGGAATGTCAGAAGGCTCAACAGGGATCTGGGGATAAGCTTTCACAAGATCAATCTTCGAGTATACCGTTGTGCCGGCTAAAAAGGCAGTACAGTCCTGAATATTGGGTAACGGGTATCGATCTGGAACGGTGACGGCATTGAGAGCTTGATAATCACCACAGGGCCGCCATTCATTGTTCTTCTTGGGAACCATGTGTAGCGCCGACGACCACGAGCTTGATGACAGACGAATGATTTGCAACTGTAACATATGCTCAAACTCGTTGCGAGCAATTCGAAGTTTATCAGGGCCAAGTCGGCGAGGGCGGCAGTGAACCGGTGGGCCTGTGGTAACAATGCAGTGGGTCACAGTGTGCTTGGGGGTCTTATCCATGGGAGACTGCGTTGTAATCTCCGGAAACTCGTTGAGCAGAGCTGTATATGGCGACGTGGGCGGTTTCACGAAAGTGGGGTTTAGGGCCGTTGCGCGTGACAAAAAACTATTGAACGATAAGCCAGTATAGCTATCCACCAGGCGACAGCGGTTCATATCCACGAGCAGATGAAAATGCCTTCAGAAATCGGCGCCTAAGATTGCGTAGCGTTTGTCTGCTATCCAAAATAACCACTGCAGTTTCCTCTTAAGACCGAGATCAAGGGTCAGAGACTTCTGTCCGTAAGTTGCGATGACCGAAGAATTGATCGCTTGTAAAGAAGTTGACTTCTCGCGAAGACGCCGGTCAGTTTTGGACGCTGGAATTCTGCTGACTTCTGCTCCAGTGTCCACCAGCAAACGCAGACCTGTGGTTCTGTGGTTGATGTGGAAGAGGCGGCTTGATGCTTGGCCAAGCCCGCCGCTGTTATTGACGATCGGCCGGAGCGTTACCCATGCGCCATGAGCAAGGTGCTACACATCTGCGAGCCACGGCACGAAAATGCCGGTGATAATAGCATGTGTTCTGCGGTGAAAAGCAGTGCTCGGGCTGGTAAAGGGGCCGTTGCGGAGCAGCCGACATGAGATATGGTCGATGTGGACGAGGCTGGTCATTTAAGTTGCGAATGCTCTGCAATTGCAGACGCAAGTTGGCGACTTCAGCTGCGAGATCTTTTACCGTTTCTCGAAGGGAATCTGCTTCGGAAATCGGAGAGGTGTGGGCAGCGTTTATGACTGCCGGAGCAATGTCCATCATGTCATCGGCCATTTCTGCCAGCTCCGACAGCGGCTTATCCTGAGCTGTGACAAGAGCCATTCGCATGGTAGGTGGAAGACGCGTTAGAAACAACTCGCGTAGTATGCATGTTTCCGAGCCGTCCAGCTGGTCCCCAAGCAGGTGCTGCAGGTGACGTAGAAACTGTGTGGGACGGCAGTCCCCGAGCTCTTCGTAGCACAGAAGTTGCTGAATGCGCCGATGCTCAGGCGGAACAAGTCAGTGAAGAAGGGCCTGTTTGACTGTCGTATACGGAGTGTCACCAGGCGGGCCCACGAGGATGTCGCGTATTTCGGCCATTGCCTGTGGCGGCAACACTTCAGCGAGGAGCTCATGCTTGCGAACTTCTGACGTGATGCGATGAATGTGGAACTTGTTCTTGACTTGAATGAACCATAAGGAGGGATAGGCAAGCCACAGCTGTGGTAGCGTCATGGTAGTAGTACCTCCAACAACACCCGAAGAGGGTACATGGCCGGGTGCAGTGGCAGCGGTACCAGGGCTGAGGCTGTCGAGATGCTCACGCTGCTTGATGGAAGGTCGCGTTCGTAGTCCGGGTCACCAATAAATATCGCACTCTGAAAAGCGGTTCCGAAAACACAGCGCGGTTATTAATGCATCTCCGCCATTGTTCCAACTACCTCTCTTCTCTCCTCAGCAGATTACCCACTACTAGCTTATGTGCCAAGTGTGTCGTGCCAGAAAAAGAAGAAAAGTATGCCACACTGGCAATCGTTTAACCGCAACAGTGGTATCTGCTTGTGATCTCGAATGGCGCCCAGAAACATGCACTCAGGGAGGAACAGGCAATGAAGGGACGGTTAGAGTGAAGAAAAAAGAAAGAATAAAAAAAAGAAAGGGGGCGGGCAAGGTTCACTGGAAGCCACCGACTTCAGTTGGCTTGGGCAGTTTGGTGACCTTCCCTCGTGCTTATCAGCTTGGATGTCTCTACACTTGCATGCTCCTGAATCCTGCTGTGGCCCACAGATAAGACAGGGGACCTGCTTCACACAGATATAAAGAAAAACAATAGGCATGCCCCAACAGGCGAAGAGGGGGAGGGAGAGAGCCCAGGTGGTTGAGGGGGGTCAGCAAAGTAATAAAAAAACGGATGAGAGCCAACGGGTGAGGAGGTGCCAGGTGTCGGTTATCGAGAGTGCAGTGGATGAATGTAGGGGATGCGTTTATTATGGATAGAAAGAAAAGCAATACAGCACGCGGCAATGGGCGAAGGGGGGGGGAGGGAGCGAGCCAAGGTAATTGAGGGAGGTTGGCAAAGTAATCAAAAACAGAAGATATCCAACGGGGGAGGAGATGCCAGGTGTCGGTTAGCAGGACTGCAGCGGATGAATGTAGGGGGTGCGTTTATTACGCGGGGGGGAAAAAATTAAAATTTTGATGGCTGAAGTTGGGGGTGCATTTATTACGCCAGCAAATACGGTACCGCTTGTTCCACTAAACATAGCAAGAAATTTGTGGATTGCATTAAAGGAGTAATCTATTCAGTCCCATTGCCATGCGCTAGTGTGTACATTGGCCAGACTGGCCGTTGTGTTAACCAAAGGTTGGAGTAAATACAGTAGATTCTCAGTAAATAGAAATCTGTTAGGTGGAACTATTGTGTTAGCGCAATCGTGCTCATTCATAGCATTGATATCGCAGCATCCCTATCACTGCTTCAATGTAAACTTTGCGATGAGAGCACAATACATACAACGCGGTCTGCCGATTGCCCCAAAAGGTATCGGAGACAACTTGTGCAACAGCCACAGGGCTCATTTCCTTCAGGAGGTGCTCATTGCCTATGCCTATCTCCAAGAACATTTTGCAAACTTAAGACGACTAGGGTGTATCCTCTCTGCGCGAGCAATATTCATGGGCAGCCTTGGCATGTTTTCAAAACTCACACATAGAACATACGTCATGCAGGGCGATGCTGTCAATTTAGACTTTATACGGAGCGTTGTAGCAATGTCTACAGCAAAAATTCTCCCGAACTCGGATCACATCACATTAGCTAGATAGAGTGAAATAGGAAAGTGAGTGCGGCCATTTAAGGACTGCAGGGGGTCGTAGTTCGGAGTGGATTAATTAAATAATGTGGGAAAAATCCGACTATTGACTAAAGATGTGGGTGTGTTCATTATGCAAGTACATCATTTTACTAGAAAAAGGAAATCTGTACAGAAGACTCTCAGTAAACAAAAATCTGTAAAACGGAACTATTGCCTCTGCATTGCTTGGTTTTGGGCTTGTATTCTGCACTCGTGTTCACCTCTCAGTAAACAGAACTCCTGTTAAATGTAACACATTTTCCCGGTCCCTTCAGGTTTCGTTTACTGAGAGTCTACTGTATTTTGAAACCAACGCACACACATGGATTACCTCATGAAGTTTCCCTCCAAAATGCCATGGTAATACCTGACAAGGTGATGATGCCAGGCCAGAGTTGGGCTTTGGTTCCGTGCGAGGGGCATTATTTCCACCGCCGGACGAGGCCGAGGACTCGGAGGAGAGCATGGACACATTGTCCGAGAACGCCGAGTCATTGTCGGGGCTGTCTGTCCGAGCAACGACCCCTCCATTTGTAGACACGGTCCCGTCCTGTTGCAAACAAGCAGCACCAAAAGACACCAGAATTTGGCATATACTGGTAGCAGAGTGGCATGTTCCATGCTTTTCTCACGCTGTTAATCGGACCGCACTTACAACATGACACTGTGCAGAAGCAGAAACTGATAGAACCAATGGTACATAACATGACTCATTCACCCCATAACCTAGATATTTCCCCAAAGCAGTGCCCTAAAGTGAATAGATTTGGTTTCACTCAGACCAATCACCAAGGCTGCAATGATAAAGTCTGGCGTTGGGAAAGAAACTGTTGCAAATTAGAAAATAAACCTTCCTAGAATACTAAGCTAACACAACTACCGTATTTACTCGATTCTACCGCGCCCTCGATTGTAACGCGCACCCAGTTTCGACGACGAAAAACAAAAAAGTAAGACATCGACTGCAACGCGCACCCATTTTTCTCGTTGGCCCGCACGATCACACCACTCTAAAAAACGACTCCTTTCGGGAGCGTCTTCCATTCAAATATGAGGTGCGGGGGAAGCTTGTGCCCATCTGACGTGTAACAGAGCATTGCTGTCAATGCAGTTTTACCGTGGACCGATGTCAGCACGCGAACTTGCTTCGCCCCCTTCTTCTCGATGGTTGTGGTGCCAGGCATGTCGAAGTAAAGAGGCATCTGATCGGCATTTCCGATTTGCTCAAGCAGGTAGCCGTTGTTGTGCCGCAAGTTGAGGACGAACCTCTGAAAACTGTGAATCTATTCTTTGTGCTCCTCCAGCAACTTCTGGCATATGCCCGTTCGCCTTCGGAGGGAAAAGCCTTTCCTCTTCATAAAGTTAGTTAGCCAGCACCTGCTCGCTTTGGACTCGCTCCGCGTTAGCCCTTTTTCTAAGGCTAACTGCGCAGCTTGCACTTGGAGCAGTTCTGTCGTCACAGGCCGCTGTGCCGCTCGCTGCTCAAGCACATACTCGCCGCGCAGCTCTTTAATTTGCGGAAACCGACCCTGCTGTGGTCCACTGAAGCCTTTACGTGAAGCTTTGCTGTCGACAATCTTCTGCTTTTGTTTCCGCCGGTCCCGCACGCACGTTTCGGGAACTCCGAACAACCGCGATGCGGCCCGATTTCCATCCGTTTCTACACACGCGATGACTTTTCTTTTAAAAGCGGTATCGTGGTGCACTCGAGTTTTTGGAGTCGGTCCTTCCATGCCGTCGACGCTAATGCACTACAAGATGACAAATTCCTCAGCACACGTACAAAGTGCTGTACATGGGAAACATATAGGCAGAAATGGCCGACGCGCCATGCCGACGCACGGAGGGGGCAGCCATTTCGGATATGCCGATGGCAATAGAATGACCGTATTCAGTTTTTTTTTTTTTTTCGTACTCGATTCTAACACGCATGCAATTTATTGCTTAACCGGAAAAAAGGTGCGCGTTAGATTCGAGTAATTACGGTATTCAAGTAATGCATCTAATATCATTCAATCAAATTATTCGACCAAAATTATTATGCACTTCGAAATTGGCTACGAACCCAATATTCCCTATCCGCACATGCCTAATATAAGCAATGGAAGCCTTTTGCCAATCACCTGTTGCACATCACTGCAATACTGTGAACCTCAGAGGAATGGGTATACTGATTGATTGATTGGTTTACGATTAACAGCACCACGAACATCTCGACCAAAGAGTGCCTCGAAGTTTCTGTTTATACTTGACCAGAAGCAAGAAGAATCGAAACGGTCACACCCATAGAGTGCAGGGGTCTCAAACTCACCTCAGCTAACAAACTGCAGTCTCAAAATTTAGCCCCGCAAGGGCCAGGGCAAGGAAAGTCGGGGGGGTGGGAGGGAGGGAGGAGGGTGAGTTTGCACAAAATGACACCTAACGCTGACATTTGAAAGAACAGCTTTTCCGTATCCCACATGTGGGTCGTTTCTGACAGCGATTACCCATCAGGTTAGGTGAAAAAAAAAAATGTAGCAATACTGATTTTCACAATGACTTAAATCAAGTACATTCCTATATTCAGTTTCTTGACAGCATAAAATTTCGCATGAAAAAAAAATGCCTCAGACCGGTTTTGTCTCTGTAACTTAACCAAACGAAGTGCTGTCAGTTGCTATAGGAGAGAAAATAACGCGAGCACTATATTCAGCAGAATCACAAAAGTTAATTTCGTATGGTGCCATGGGCTGCACCTCTAAAGCCCCGCAGGCCATGTGGTTGAAGGCACACGGGGAAGTGCTCAATCTCTTTTAGTGATTGGCATGGCCTCAAATGGACGTCACTCGTGGGAGGTCCGTGGGTTTGATACAGAGGCTCATTCCCATGGACTACCGAGGAAAGATGAACGACGACGACGCCACAAATGCAGTACATTGTATGGATTTTGTTGTTAGTGTGTGTCATGTTCTCTGATGTTTTGTTGGCATTATATTATAAGTCATCATAGTTCAGATAATTTTCAGATTCAATTGGCAAGCTCATCGTCCCGTAAAATATTAGTTAATGTCTATGTGCTCGTAGCATGACTGTGTGTGTTCCATGAGCGCAGTTTTTTTGACACCCCACAAATGTTATCAATAAAATATTGAGCTAAGTACTATGTCCAAGGTGTAGTACAATGAATTATACAGATTGTAGAGGCACTAAACTTGACATGCAGCTGCATCTAAATTTAATGACACTTAATACAATGATGCGATCTTGTGAAGTGAGTGAATAACACTCAAATTACGAAGAAAAAAAGTAACCATGCATTTATGAAATTAGCCTGCTTGCAAGACAAGTGAATTTCTGCGCTCCCTTCAGTTGGAGTTTGTTCCTGTCTTTTACAATGTCGCAGCTGACAAATTCAACTTCGATCACAGCATGTCAGATCCAAAGACCAAACGCAACATAGCATCTATCAAATCGAGACCTTTGAAACGCAGACCTAAAAAAGTCCACCAAACACAAGCCCTGACATAAACAATGTTGTTCAATGTTTGGAATGAATATTTTTGATGCGATACACGTCATATCGAATGCCTCAATTATATTGTACTGTGCAACTTATGGTGTTTAGAGTACCGTATAAACTCGATTCTACCGCGCCCTCGATTGTAACGCGCACCAGATTTCCACCGCGAAAAAAAAAAAAAACGTAAGACATCGATTGCAACGCGCACCCATTTTTCTCGCTGGCCCACACGATCACACCACTCGAAAAAACGACTCCTTTCGGGAGCGTCTTCCATTTAAATATGAGGTACGGGCAAAGCTTGTGCCCATCTGACGTGTAACCGAGCATTGCTGTCACTGTAGTTTTACCGTGGACCGATGTCAGCACGCGAACTTGCTTCGCCCCCTTCTCGATGGCTGTGGTGCCAGTCATGTCGAAGTAAAGAGGCGTCTGATCGGCATTCCCAATTTGCCCAAGCAGGTAGTCGTTGTTGCGCCGCAAGTTTAGGACGAACCTCTGAAAACTTTGAAGCTTTCAATCGTACTCCTCCGCAAAACTTTTTGCATATGCACGTTCCCCTTCGGAGAGAAAAGCCGTTCCTCTTCATAAAGCTAGTTAGCCAGCAACTGCTCGCTTTAAACTGGCTCCGCATTAGACCTTTTTCTAAGACTAATTGCATAGCCCGCACTTGGAGCAGTTCTGTCGTCCCGGGCCGCTGTGCCGCTCGCTGCTCAAGCACATACTCGCCGAGCAGCTCTTTAATTTGCGGAAACCGACCCTGCTGTGGTCCACTGAAGCCTTTACGTGAAGCTTTGCTGTCGACAATCTTCTGCTTTTGTTTCCGCCGGTCCCGCACGCACGTTTCAGGAACTTCGAACGACCGCGATGCGGCCCGATTTCCGACCGTTTCTGCACACGCGATGACTTTTCTTTTAAAAGCGGCATCGTGGTGCACTCGAGTTTTTGGAGTCGGCCCTTCCACGCCGTCGATGCTAATGCACTACTAGATGACGAACTTCTCAGCACACGTACGAAGTGCCGCACATGAGAAACACATAGGCAGAAATGGCCGACGCGCCATGCCGACGCACGTAGGGAGCGGCCATTTTGGATTTGCCGATGGCAATAGATTTACCGTAATTTTTTCGTTCGTACTCGATTCTAACGCGCATGCGATTTATGAACTCGCTTAACCGGAAAAAAGGTGCGCGTTAGATTCGAGTAATTACGGTATGCCTTTTGCCGTTGAATGAATTCCGGCAAGTGCATTTGGCAGCGAATAGCATCTGGTTTGTCCATGTAACATCGCGTCAATAGAATTAAACATAAAACAATAAGGAAGTTAATGCCACTTTCTTTGTTCCAGTAGTATAGCCATTACACATACTGGTTTACCCCGCTGCTCTGATTCTGTGAGTGAGGAAAATACCCACAATGCTTGTGGTTATGGCTTTGTGGTATCATAAGTCATGCTGTCATGAAAACACCGCGATGAAATTTTTCAAAAGGGTGCACATGACTTCATGCGGATCTGTTAAGTGTGGTGGAACACCTTAATCGGTTGCTATAATCAAGTACACCAGATACTAAAATTTGAATCCAACAGAACACGAATTATAATATCCAATTTGACATTAGAAAGCACCAAATATTCCGACAAGCCCATGAAACAGATTTCCCAGAAAATGCTGGGGAATAAAATGTCGACAATAGTCGGACCTGGTAGTCCAGCTTGGTTCGGCAGCAGCCAGTGGATGAACGTTGGCTAGCGGTGGGAGTGCACGATGGAGGAGGCGCTGCAGTGGCCTTGATCTCACGCTCAAACTGTGTCTCCAGGGCACACAGCTCACCTAGGATGGCATCGAGCTCCACATCCTGGCTTCTCTGCACGCGAATTTAACGTAAGTTACAAGTTACAGTGCACGCAATAACCAAGTTCTTTTGGTCATATTTTCCTGCTCGGCAAACAAGCCTGAGTAATAATAACAACTTCCATTAACAACAATCGATATCTGAGCAAGATGGTTAACGATACTTGAAGAAAGGCCAGCCGAACCACAGGACATGAGAGAGAAGCAGATACACACTACTGCCGGAACTACTGCCAGAGTGCTCTTTCACAAAAATCATTTGTAAAATACATTTTTCTTAATTGTGAAATAAAAAAATGTGAGAGAATTGCTGTATTTTTTGCAAAACAGCTTCGACTGACCTTCCAAGTTGACCATGGAAAAGCGGTAGCCATCGAGCCTTGGTGTGGACATCAAAGCTGGGTCAGTCGCCATGCCAGCTGGAAAACTGGTCAGCCCATTCAGATCCTGTAACAAAACAACAGGCTCACACATGCAGACTTTCTTATCAGACCGTGACCATTCATTTCTGCAGTTGAATCATGGTTGACAGGAAGCTTAGTATGGGTCAGGCTAAGACTCATTAGCTCACAAAGTGCTGCAGTAATGTTGCTACAAATCAATTTTCACACTGTAACACTTGAAACGAATGTGCACTGCCCTACAGGTGAAGAAAAGCACTGCCCACATGGCCGCAAGGTATAGCAATTCCTCATGGGTCAGAAGAACTGAAGCGCAGGCTGGCTAACCGCCGGTTTGGTTTTGCCTTAGCTCACTGGTGTCATAATGCTTAGCAAGATTGGAAAGGGGTAATGAGCCGTGACACAGCAAATTTCGTCCCTCAGTTACACACATGTGTAGACGTCATTTAATGACAATAACCAGTATGCTCGCTGATGTTTAAAAACTCATCCAGAGCAGTCTGTGACAATGCTGTAGCCCCGAGAAACAATACCAAAAAGTATTTCCTTTCATTACATGCTATGCATACAGTACAATACTAATTTGGCACACTGAAGTTATATACAGGTTCACAAGCCTACGGCATCTCCTCCTTAAAGGCAGATGCATAAACGCCTTCCTCAGTGGGCACGCACTTTATATTGACGTCAAGAGCCACTCGGCAGGCAACCCCAACTTCAGAGGACATCACTGAGTGCATAAATGGGAATGTTTCTTTAGTCACGAAGGCAATCAATCAACTGCTGCATCAAGGCAGGGCCTCTCCATACTTCTTTTTGTAACCCACTATGGGCTTCCATGTTCTTTGGCGGAACGAAGATTTTTGATGAGCCAACAAGATTTGTACAATAAAGGTTCTGCAGTCGAACACCGCTACAACGAATGCCGCTTCAACGAAATTTCACGATGCGATTCCAGCCTCAGATATTTATTGCTGTACAGTAAACCCAATCTTTAACATTTTGGTGCATTTTCAGAACTTGAAAATACATCAAAATGTTAAACATTGGGTTTACATTATAGCTGCAGATGATTCGAAGCTAAAGCTCAGTTGCTTAGATCATGGTTGCTTTCGCACAGCTGCTGGGTGCATCTGCGGAACGATGCCTTTTCCGATTCCAACGCTCATCATTTTGTTCCCGCTTGGCCAGTGTAGTAACTAATCAGAGCAGCTGTTTGTCAGAATTATCAACAAAATCAGCTAGCCACGAGTGATGGATGATAAGAATGGCATAAAATAAGGCATAAATCACTGCTCCACGATACACTGCTGCCATCGGCGTTTTGACGGCGGACAGCTGCTGGTGTTAACGTGTTAATGCAACTGTTTGGTTCATTCACAAAGGCAATTTTAGGCATTGTTTGAGCGTGCTTTTCACCGCGGCATCGCTATACATGGGTGACAATCACGTCGCGACATTGCTGGGAAAGAATAGGAAGCAGTGGACATTTTTCGAATTTTGAAAATAAACGTTCCATTGTTTTGCTAGTTCAGATCGGCTATATTTTTTCGATTTCACTACAACGAAATTTTTCCCGCGCCCCTTCAGTTTCGTTGCAGCGGGGTTCGACTATAATGTAATAAACGACTTATTAAAGACTTGACTATAATTAAAGGGCACTTCGCACGTAGCTCTGTGACACCGTGGCAGATTGACTTTGTTCACGAGTTGCCCAAGAGTAACAGTGAATAGCTGAAGAAAATGACGAAGAACAGCCACATAAGTAGTGAGGAAGAGTGCGCAATCATGACTGATTATGATGGCAATGCAACCCACATCATAGCCGAGCTCCCAAGCAAATGCAGCCAATATGCCAAAATCAATTCATTGTCCAGTCTCAAAATGACACTTCTACATCAGCAAGTGATAAAAAGCAACAAAGAAGAGCCTATCTAAGGGAACTATTCGCAGGACGAAGTGGGAACAATCAACCGGTTCTGCATGCAAGACCGTGCATCCATCTAATGGCTGCAAGAAGACCTCCCACAGCTTGTACAAGAAAACATTCTAAGGAAACACTTCGTAGTCTATTTCTAGCACCCTTTTTATAAAGGTCAATTACGTCTTGCTAATAGTATCTCTGCTTAGGCTACATTACTGTTTGTGCTGCCAGAAAACAATGAAACGGTTGGAAAAAAGGCACACACAAGGTGGCATATGCTCATATGTTACAAGGACCAAGATGCAGTGTGCATCCTGCAGTTGAGAGCTCAAAAAAGTTCAATAAGGCCTTCACTGATTATCTGTGCCAAGACAGATTATGTCGCCTTTCAAGCACTAACTGTTCTGACAAGGGTCTCTCGTCAAGATGACCTAACGCAGCAGCTAGCTGCCGGCTTTGCGCGCTGTAACGAGGGCAGTGACAGAGAATGTGCTCTATCGTTTCATTGCTGCCGCAATGGTCGCAAGCAGCACTGTCTTCCATGCCCATTCGGAAGGCGAAAGCTTTGGTGAAAGCGACACTAAGCCACATTCTGCAAAGCACCGTTGTCTCAAGTCGAGATAGTCCGCAAGCGATTTGACAATTGTGTTATAGGCCGCAGTTGCTGACTAACAAGCGTGCACACGCACGTAATACGAGCAAGAAGAGTGAGGAGTGTGGGATACTGCTTGAAGATTAACCAAAAGTCAGATTCTTGTTCAATCAATCGCAGCTTTGCTTGCAAACCGCACCCTAGATTGAACATGTTGACGTCACACACGTCAATGGGGAAGCCCGAAGAGGTGAAAAGATTGTTTCTCGGAACTTCTGGCATGCCCACACCTTGTAGCGCTACCATGTGTGGCATCGTTGATCATAGTGGCATTCTGCACACAACACGTGCGTTTACTTTAGCTTGAGGTGGTTTAGAGGTCCTTTAAAACCCCCCAAAAAGTGGGGCATTTCAGTAGGTAGGCGACAATGATCCACTTTTGTAAGGCCAACGTACCATGAAAGTTATGACATTGCTTTTTTAGAATTGTAACACAAATTTTCACGAACTTGGCAATTTTTTTCAGTATAGATCAAAATTTAAAAAAAGAAGAGAAAATATTTTAAAGAGCCATTGAAGATATAAATCATGTGGCTGACCTGGTGGATAGCGTCAAGTTCTCCAAGCCAGGCCCCCAGCAACTTCTGCGGGTCCACCTCAGCATCTAGGTCAAGCTCGTGGTCCGAGTCGAGCTCAGCCTCGCTCGTCGAGCTGTAGGCGCCGTCTCCCGAGCTGCTTCGCGTGCGCCGTGATGAACAAGCTGTCATGGTGCTGCATTCAGACCTGCAATCAATCGCTTACTGTGACACCATGTCACGAATTGGTGTTCTTATACATGACAACAGCCACGTCTGCCTGATGAAACTCGTGATGCATTTCTAGCGTTTAAGCGAAATAGAAAAATAAAGCAGACACATGAACAAAAAGAGACCGTAACAACGCTGGTCTTCAACAGAGTTTATTGCACAGAAAAATGGGCTCTTGGCTCTTTGGGCAGTCACTATGCACCCCCATACACCGCAATAGAAGCGAGGCACATGTATGTTGTCACACAACAGGAGCTCATGGTACAAAGGTATTGCGCAAAATAATCTGTTTCTTTTCGTGACCGTGCGATAGAAGCAGTGCAATTAACACCAATGATACTGTCTCAGATTCAGGTGCTCCCCGATTCCTTTAGAGGGCAAGGCTGCTGCCCAACCCCGCACATACTAGACACAAGTAAAATCTGACAATAAATTTTTTGTGAAGACAAGCCACCGAAGCAAAGCTTTGCTACAGCAGAATAATTATAATTGCAGGTCTACTCCGCAATGCAAGCTGATAACCAGCAATGATAGTGAAGCGTGTACACACTGTTGAGGCTATTTTCGCACATTTTATCTCGTGAACAAAGCAAATGAGGGCATAGAATATTGAAACCGTGTTTTGACTGACATGGGCGCTCTCCGATAAAAATTTCCTTATGAACCGAGACTGGATTTTTTTTTCCTTGAAAATGAGCATTTTTGAAAGAACTCAGTTTTCAACTATATTTTCTCTTTTATGCGGTCTGTACAAAAGCAATCTTTTTCGGTAACGTTGTGAAGGCTTTTTCATATAATTTACATTTCTTTAAGCTTCTCTGTCAAAGCAAATTTGCATCATGTTAACTAACTTTTTTTTATTTGGGCCATATTTGCCTTTTTTTCATATTGCTTGTTTTGAGCACAGCATAAGGTAAGCACAAATGTAATTTACAATGATGCCTATCAAAACCGGCAACAGAACTTTTCTTTTGACATTATGTTTATTGCTAGCGTGAAGTTCACTGATGAAATCAGAAACTACTGAAGTTGGCAAAAAAGGACAGAATGCTTGCGCCCCCCGAATCCAGTGCCCCCAATTTCAAATATTTTTTACCGTGCTGAAAGCGTCTTTTTGGAAATAAAACTTTCTGTTCTGTGCACTTTGAATGTCCACACTCAACATACAAATAGAGCAGACAAAACAAAAATATTGACCGGAGATGCATGTTCCATCTCTCGTGGAGTCACCTTATAGAGGAAGCAGCCCATGATGGAAACGCACATACAGATGTGGAGGATAAAAAAACGTTAATGAGGCTTTGATAGACAACAACTACGTCTAGCTAAATCTAAGCTATAAAAATCAGCCATAAATATATCGACAAAAATGAATGCTACCACAACTGTGACACAATCTAACATTGACATAAGAAAGAATTAATTATAATGACTTAGATTGTGTGATGACGAATTTCCCAATATGAAATGGCTGTAAATGAAATTTTTTTGGCCACTATTAGTGCAAACTCTTGGTAGTAGTAAACTTTCTTTTTATGCAAGACGTGGACAGTTCGTGTTTATAAGTCACTCTTGATATTGTCACGTCGCTCCAGGGGGTGTCGACAAAGTTTATTGATGTCCGAGCAACAGGGCTCTAACCAAGCGCGTCGGTTGGGCTTGTTTGCCAGAGCGGGGGTCCATGCGCACTTCTTTCTTCTCTGTGGTGTGAGCCTTCACCTTGGCATACGACCCACTACTAGAAGTAGGTGGCAATATTCCTCCTCAACAAAAAAAAAAGAAAGAGCATCGTCCCGATGCTGTAAAGTTATTGAAAAAAAAAACCAAAACAAAGTAGGTTAAACAATGAAAAAGGGCACCAATAATCAAATGTTAGACGCGATAAGTTCACCAATGATGAGCCAATTGTCAGAGCACAAATAAAAAAAAACACAGGAAAAGTGGTCTTTTAGGAACGCGCAAAATAGGGCTTCATGCGCACCACGTGAACTATGTCAGAGGTCGGTTGTTTTCGTTGTGCCCATCGTGACGACCTAGCGTCCGGAACCACTTCGTAGTTTACGTCGCTCACGCGGCGTATTACTTTATACGAACCGAAGTATTTGCTGAGCAACTTTTCGGAGAGGCCACGGCGTCGAACAGGGGTCCAAACCCAAACTTGGTCTCCCGGACTGTAAGATACGTCATTGTGACGCATATTGTAACGTCGTGCATCGACCTGTTGCTGCTGACCAATGTGTAGCCGGGCGAGCTGGCGAGTTTCCTCAAGACGCTCTGCAAATTCTTCTGCGTCAGTTGTTAATCGATCAGCGCCTTCATAAGGAAGCATCGCATCCAGCATCGTCTGAACTTCGCGGCCGTAGAGAAGGCGAAACGGTGTAAATCGGGTTGTTTCTTGAACGGCGGTGTTATAAGCGAACGTCACATAAGGCGAAATGCGATCCCATGTTTTGTGTTGGACGTCGATGCACATGGAGATCATGTTTGTGACTGTCTTATTTAGTCGCTCGGTTAAGCCGTTGCTCTGCGGATGGTAAGCAGTCGTTGTTCGATGCCTAGTGTTACTTAGCCGAAAAACTTCATCAATAAGCTGTGCAGTGAACGCTGTTCCTCTGTCGGTTATCACTGTAGATGGAGCACCGTGGCGCAGAACAATGTGGCACATGAAGAACTGTGCTACCTCAGAAGCCGTGGCTCGTGGTATCGCCTGTGTCTCAGCATAGCGGGTCAAATAGTCAGTTGCAACAATAACCCATTTGTTGCCGTCGGACGATAAAGGAAATGGGCCGAGAATGTCCATGCCGACTTGGTCAAATGGCTTGTGGGGTGGATCAATTGGCTGAAGTAATCCAGCCGGCTTGCTTGGTGGCGACTTTCAACGCTGGCATTCACGACAGCTTTTAACGTACTGCTTCACGCTTGCCGAAAGTCCGGGCCAGTAGTACGCCTCACTTACTCTGGCGAGCGTTCGCGAGTAACCTAGATGACCAGATGTGGGCTCGTCATGGCACGCGGAGAGGACTTCGTCCCGCATGTCCTTCGGAACGACGAGGAGGTAAGCGCGGCTCGTAGAACGGGCGTTTTTCTTGTACAGGACATTACCTCGGAGACAGAAAGACGTCATGACACGAAATAGATGGCGAGGTATAACGGCGCTATGACCCTCCAGATAGTCGATGAGCGGTCGAATCTCTTCATCCTCTCGCTGGCGTCTGCTCAAGTCAGATGAGCTAAGGGCGCCCAGGAAGCCATCATCGTCGTCTTCTTCTTGATTGACTAAAGGTATGGGTGCACGCGACAGCGTATCAGCGTCTTCATGCTTCCGTCCAGACTTATATACGATGGTAACATCAAATTCCTGTAGACGCAAGCTCCATCGGGCCAGTCGTCCAGAGGGATCACGAATGTTTACCAACCAGCAGAGGGCATGGTGGTCCGTCACCACTTTAAATGGACGACCATAGAGGTACGGGCGAAACTTGGTGATCGCCCACACTACTGCGAGACACTCTTTCTCTGTGGTCGTGTAATTCACCTCGGTACGGGACAGTGAGCGGCTGGCATAGGCAATGACTCGTTCTTTGCCGTGTTGATGCTGGACGAGCACTGTGCCGAGGCCGATGTTACTGGCGTCGGTGTGCACCTCTGTGTCAGCATCATCGTCAAAATGCGCAAGAACAGGGGCTGACTGCATCCGCTGTCATAGCTCGGCAAAAGCAGCCTGTTGTTCGGTAGCCCATACAAACGGTGTGTCGTCGCGTGTAAGGCGAGTCAAGGGTTCCGCTATCTTCGAAAACCCTGTAATAAATCGTCGATAGTAGGCGCACAAGCCCAGAAAGCGCCGAACAGTCTTTTTGTCTGTAGGATGCGGAAACGCGGCTACAGCGGCAAGTTTGTCGGGGTCGGGTCGGACTCCTTTCGCGTTGACTACATGGCCAAGGAATTTGAGCTCTTCATAACCAAAGTGACACTTCTGCGGTTTGAGTGTAAGATCTGCTGATTGAATAGCATGTAGCACACTCCTGAGGCGATGAAGATGTTGCTGGAAGGTTTCAGAAAAAACGACAACATCATCAAGGTATACGAGACAAGTTTGCCACTTCAGACCAGTAAGCACAGTGTCCATTATTCGCTGGAAGGTTGCGGGCGCTGAGCACAAACCAAAAGGAAGGACTCGAAATTCATACAGGCCATCAGGGGTAACAAAGGCCGTTTTCTCGCGATCTCGCTCGTCAACCTCGATCTGCCAGTACCCGCTTTTTAAATCCAAAGAGGAAAAATAGTGGGCGCGGCGTAATCTGTCTAACGAGTCGTCGATGCGTGGCAGCGGGTACACGTCCTTTTTAGTCACGCTGTTCAGCTTCCGGTAATCGACGCAAAAACGTAGCGTTCCGTCTTTCTTCTTGACTAGGACGACCGGAGAGGACCACGCACTGTTGGAAGGCTCGATGATGCCGTCGTCAAGCATTTCTCGAACTTGCGTACGGATGGCTTCTCGTTCCTTCGCTGACACACGGTAAGGCTGTTGGTGTACTAGGCGGGCGTCGTCGTAAGTGATGATTCTGTGCCTAGTGATCGAAGTCTGGCGCACCTTAGAGGAAGGAGCGAAGCATGACTTGAATTCAAGCAAGAGTTTTCGCAGTGCTGTCTGGTTTTCTGGTGTGAGGTTAGAATTGATATCGATATTGTTTAGAGACGTATCGGCGGCCTCCACTGCGTCCGACGAGAAGCAGATGGGAACGGTACCTAATTCATCTGCAAACGCTAACGAAGTGCCACGGAAAAGGTGTCGGGGTTCGTTGCTGAAATTTGTGACGAGCAGTTGAGATCGGCCATCACGTAGCTGTATGATACTCCTAGCCACACACGTAGCTGTATGATACTCCTAGCCACACAAACACCTTGAGTCAGCAGGTGTTCAAAATTACTTTCTGCAATCGCTTCACCATTTCGCAATCCACAGCATGTAACGTCGAC